CAGGGACTTATTTTTCTGACTGGTATAATTCAGTAAAATTTAATTACAATCTTACCTTTACAGATTAACCCATCTCCTATAAAAACTTGATCTTAATGCTGGTTTGTTTTTCCCCCCTCAGCAATCCCCAGTGCCCCTGATAAGATGCTAATGTGGGACAAAAGAGAAGCTTATTCCATGGTTAGTCCTGAGCTTATTTGCCAAGCACATGACCAGTTATTTATTGCTATTACCTATTAGTCATCATTTCCCATTTCCTATGGTTGTTTATTCTTATATTTGAATGACTTCCACTGGGAGAGTACAAATTCATTGAAATTAACATTTAAGAGACCAAAGATGGGGTTGGGATTGTGGCTCAGTGGTAGAGCACCTGCCTCACACACATGAGGCACTGGGTTCAGTCCTTAGCACCACATAAAAATAAATGAATAAAATAAAGATATTGTGTTTATTTTAAAAAAAACAAAACATTTAAGAGACCAAAGATAACCTATCAATGATGTAACAAGGTCCTGAAACTAAGTTAAAAAATAGTAACATGTTATACTCTCAAGACAAAATATTTTTCTCTTCTAATCAGCTGATATATATAATTGGATATATCACTATTGCTTTCAAATGGCTCTGCAGAAATAAAAATGAGAATCTTAGGTCAATTGGCTTATATGGTTCCATGTCAAGTTTAATTTTTTTTAATCTCTATTAAGAATCACTTATCCAATAGTCCCCACCCCTCTTATCTTTGAGAGAGATGTTTCAAGACCCCTGGTGGATTCCTGAAAGCATAGATAGTACCAAACCCTATGTGTACTATATATTTTCCTATATGTCCATACCTATTATAAAGTTTAATTTATAAATTAGGCCCAGCGCCAGACATGATAGCACATGCCTACAATCCCAGTTACCCAGGAAACTGAGGCAGGAGGATTGCAAATTTGAGGCCAGCCTCAGCAACTTAGCAAAATGCTATCTTAAACAATAAAAAAACACTAGGGATTGTAGCTCAGTGATAGAGCACCCCTGAGTTCAATCCCCAGTACTGGGTGCAGCGAGGAGGCAAGTATGACAGGGGATAATCTGGTATAGTAAGAGATTAACAATAAAAACAGGACAGTTAAAACTATAATAGACTATAAGATTTTTAAAACTATGAATTATTTCTGGAATTTTTTATTTAGTATTTCCAGACGGTGGTTGACCCTGGGTAACAAACAGAAAGCAAAACCGTGGATAAGGGGAAACTTCTATCAGGCAAAAAGTAAAGAAAGCCCTATCTTTTTTAATGGACCTTCTAATTTTCTTGCCTTTGAGAATAAATACCCATTTTAAATAAACCAGAACCTCTCTTTGGTTTTTCAGAGCTAGTGTCTGAGTGGTAACTATCTGAGGTATCATTATCTGTGAATAATTTTAGTTGCAGGTGAATCTCTTCCTAACTTACCTCATTTTTCTGCTTTCTACTTGTGTGTGCTTAAGGAAGTGATTTCTAGTTTTACTCTAAACCGAACATCCTTAAGAAGGCAAAGCTGCTTGAGGAGTCAGAACCTGTGTGGTACACATCAAAGGGAACCATACTAGATAGAATGTACATGCATTTTAAGATTTATCTCTGAGAGATCCCTTCCAAATGCTTATGGCCAAAAGTAATTAAATCTTTCATTTTTATTTTCTAATGTTGTGAAATCAGGTATCAGCCTATCCTTTTCAACCCTGTATTCTATGATTATAACTATAATTATTCTACCATAGTATTGCTTGTCTGTTTTTCACCAGAGTTTAAAATACATTTCTCTTCATGTATCGTATGCATTTCAAACTTGAGTCTAAAAGTCTTTAATATGATTATGTAGTTTGATAATTCTTATTACTATGGCTATTCCATTATTTATTCTCCTACTTTATTCTTTTTCCCAATTATGTTTTGTTAATCTCTTCATTGGAAAATACTGTTTTTGTAGAATTGCTAGTTGGAGGTGACTTTTTTTTTTTTCCAAATTCATGTAGTTCCCACTATATGTTAGCCCTTGAAGGTATAGAGATGAATGAAAGGACTGTGGGAACTGAGACAAAGTTAATAGTTGAATTGAATACCACCCGTCCATGTGGTATTATAAATATTATTAAAAATAACATTTTCAGGGCTGGGGTTGTGGCTCAAGTGGTAGAGTGCTCGGCTAGCACATGTAAGGCACTGGGTTCGATCCTCAGCACCACATAAAAATAAAATAAAGATATTGTGTTTGTGTCCACCTAAAACTAAAAAAATAAATATTTTTTAAAAAATAACATTTTCATAGAACTTCTTCGTTCATGTTGGGAATGTCAATATAGATAAGCACATATTCATATTCATAAGAATATGAATACTCCAAATCTAACACATACTGTCATATATTCACATTTGTACAACATACAACATGTGCCCATAACATACATACTGTATATGAAGATGCTTTTTTAGCTAGTATATTGTGACTTTTTTTCATATCAGTCACTATTTACCTTTAGATTACGTTTTTTTTTTTTTTTTTTTTTTTTTTGCTACTAGTGATTAAGCCCAGGGATGCACTTAATCCTCAACGCTTTTTGTTTTATTTTTTGAGAAAGGGTTTCACTAAGTTGCTGAGGCTGCCTGTGATCCACCTGCCTCCCCTGCCCTTTCAAGCAGTGGGATTATAGACATGAGCTATTGAGCCCAGAAAAACAAGGACTACATTTGATGGCCAAATAGTGTATCAAGAAAAAGCATTTCTCCACTGGCCACAAGTCCAACACAATGTTTGAATTTTCACACCAAGAACCACTTCTCCAATTCTTTGTGACACCAACTGAGTGTCCTACAATTAATTTCAGTTCTGACACTACCCAATTTAGAGCAGATTTCACAGGTTAAGGACTACTCAGTCCTACAAGACTGACTCCCTCCTCAGTCACCAGTCACACATAGTGGGTCCCCACGTTACCCACAATTCTGTCCAAGTTGGCTACAAATCAAGGGTTTCTCAATACCCTCCTCTGTATCAATCATTTTCTATAGTGGTTCACAGAATTCAAAGAAACACTTTACTTTTACTGGTTTATTATAAAAGAAATGATAGGATCCCGGACCAGGAGTTCTGTCCTCATGGAGTTATGCTGTGCCACCCTCCTGGCACATGGATGCATCCACCAACCTGGAAGCTCTTCAGAAGTTGTATTATGTTGTCATGATCTATGAAATCATTGGCCATTAAAAGTTAGCACAATATTCAGCCCTTTTTCTCTCTGGAGAATTTTTATCTTTTTTTTTTTCTACATAGGTCAAGCATTTTTTCACATGCTTATTAATCATTTGATTTTTCTTTTATAAATTTCCTGCTGTATCTTATGTTCATTTGTTGGTGTATATGTTAATAATTTGTAGTTGCTTAATATGCAAAAGACAGTTACTTAATAAATTATCCTGATTACCTAGTATCGTTAGTTATATTTAAGAGATTAAAGAATAGGGGCTGGGGTTGTGGCTCAGTGGTAGAGCACTCGCCCAGCACATACATGAGGTGCTGGTTTTGATCCTCAGCACCACATAAAAAATAAATAAATAAAATAAAGGAATTGTGTTCAAGTACACCTAAAAAAAAAATATTTAAAAAAAATATCAAAGAATAAAAATCTTATTAAATTTTTTTGAGAACCTACTATATAACATTGTGCTAGGTTGGGGCATAGAAATGTAAGTTACACCTCAGTCCTGCTCTTAAATAAATTGCAGTCTCATAGGAAGGACTGTAATATAGTGTGGTAAGTACTATAATAGAATTATGTATATATAATAAGCACATTCATTCAGCAAATAGTTATTGTGTACTATAGACCTGGGACTGCTCTGGGCACTAAGAATATAGTGGTGAATCAGGTAGACATATAGGAATAAATAAAACAGTCTGTTGCTCAGGACCACATCATTTTATACCTCTGTTTGGTATTATTATAAATAGTATTTCAATTCTCTCTTGGTATCTAAAATGTAATGAACTTTAAGGTTAAATATTGAATTTGCTTTGGACCCAATCCATATTAACCCTACAAGATCAATAAAATTTCACATTCTTAGCAAGAGCAGCAGAGTACACAAATTAGTTTCATAGTAAATTTTCAATAATCAATGTCTGGTTTTTAACACTTTTTAAGCTTAATTTAATGCCAGTTTTGAACATAGAATATGTCAAGCTAGTTCCATTAATGAAAGAAAAAGCAATGATTAATTTAAAACTATCACAGGGACCCCAGGAATTAACTTTGGAGGTTTTCCTTTGTTTAAACATAAATTTTATTTCAGTACTATTATTTATTTGTATTATATTTTCAGAAGATAGGTAACATTTAAAAATTATTTCTTGATTCCATCACAAATATTCCTAGTACTTGACTTTAAAATTGGATTCACTAGACCAGAAGAAATTACATGAAATGGCTTTGTATAAGACTAGATTTCCATTGTTTATTACTATGCATTAACACATCACAAGATGTAGTAGCTTGAAGCCACAATCATTTATGATCCTGCAGTCTAGACAGGACTTAGCTTACTAGTGCTTCTGCTGGTCTATCTTGGGGTCTGTCCTACAGCTTCATTGTCTGGGGGCCTCACTAGAGATGGAGGTCCACAGTGGCTTAAACCACACATCTGCATCCCAGTTGGAAAGTGCAATCATCCATTGACTGGCCGAACCCCTCCCTTTCCCTGGTCTCTTGCTTTTGGTAGTCTGCTTGACCATTTTTCTAATAAAAAATATATATATTGATTGATTAACCTTGTTACATTTATTAGTGTGTTTCTGTGGGGAAAAGACAAGTGATATTACTTCATTTTTACATCTTTCCCAGGATAATGACTTTCTATAATTTTAAGAGGTATCTGGTCTTTGAAGTGGTTTTCAATTTGCCATGTCTTGAGACTAATTACATCATGTAGTTAGTTTAATAATCATTTATATTCTTTTTTTAAAAAACAGGCAATTGCTGGCTACTTTGATATATATTTTGAGAAGAATTGCCATAACAAGGTAAGTATCATGAGTTATCATGAATTAATTATGCAGAGTACATTGTATTTTATTTTTGTGCCCTAAGGTGTTTGGTCATAAGCATTTTGCTGTTGTAAGCAATTGGAACTCGTATTTGATTTAGTAGATTAATGTACCATGATATTAAAAATCTTGTACTTCATCAGATACTTTTAAACTTTACCAATGTAGGTCATGTTCTCCACGGGCCCCCAGAGTACCAAAACACACTGGAAACAAACAGTGTTTCTACTGGAAAAGCCATTTTCAGTTAAAGCAGGTAAGAAAGAAAAGAAGGGGAAAGTATCTTATTCATTCTAAAGTAAACAGTATTCATTTTGAAGCCATTCTTTATGTGCCTACTGTACTTTAATATAACAGATCTAAGATGTTATTAGAACTTACCATCTACATAAATCTTAGACAGCAGTATCATTTAAATATGTACTTTAGGGCTGGAATTGTGGCTCAGTGGTGGAACACTCCCCTAGCATGGGCGGGAGCCGGGTTCGATTCTCAGCACCACATAAAAATAAAGGCATTGTGTTGTGTCCATCCAAACCTAAAAAATAAATATTAAAAAAAAAGTTGATGGTTGCTATAAATAAAGCCAGAATGGCGACTTTCAAAAAAAAAAAAAGTACTTTAATTTTAAGGTAATTTGTACCTAATAGGGAATATCTAAAATGTAATGAACTTTAATAATACTAAATTAGAATAAAAAGGATTTTTATTTTTTAAAAACTAATGTTCAATAGTTATATATTCAGTATACATTTGTCTGGAATTCTCTCCAGTATCTCCTCTCTGGTCCATCTGTTTATATCTTACTCAGTTCAAGGGCTGATCATATTCTGTATTCCTTTGTTTTAACCTCATTGATTGTTTACTTGTATTTGCACCTGTAGTTATCATATACCACACACTTAACTACAAAAATTAGAATTTGATTATGAAATTTCTTATCCTTTTATAATGAAAGTCTTATTCCACCTTAACTGAAAGCCTTCTGAAGGACAGGAATGCTCATTACACAAAATTCAATGAAAAGAGACCCCATATCACTAGTAACTAGGGAGAGGCCAAATAACTAGAATCGTGAAACACTTTCTCATCCATCAGTTTGGGGGAAAAAATTCCATAAAATTTAACAATGCTAATTGCTGGCAATAATGTAGCCCAATTAAATTTTCATGCTCTTTTCCTGTTAGTTTTAGTAGGTGTAATTGAATGAACAGTTTGATACCATCAAGTTAGATCTAAATGTGCCATCCCTGCAACCCAGCAATTTTTTTTTTCTTGGCATATATTCTGAACAGTCTCTCCTATAACATGTATGCAAAAAATTAAATTGAAGGAGCTAGGACAGAATGTTAAGATTTGACAGAGCTAAATGAATGGTGAGCTTTAAGTGGTCATTTTCCTAATCTGTTTCTGTTTCATAAAATTCCAAGATAGTTTAGATTTTGTATTGATCTATAAATTGAATAATAGATGCGAATAAACACTGCTAGTGAAAAGCTGCAGCTTGTCCTTTTCTTGCTTTGAAGCTGAATGCTATGGAAATAAGACCTTGATAGTGTCATTTTCTGTCTCCAGAAAGCTAGAGTACAGCAAAACTGAAGTGAGGCGGACACAAATAAAGTCCTTTTATTTATTTAGTTAGTTAGTTAGTTGTAAATGGACACAATATCTTTATTTATTTTTATGTGGTGCTGAGGATCGAACCCAGAGCTTCACACGTGCTAGGCAAGCGCTCTACCACTGAGCCACAACCCCAGTTCACAAATAAAGTCCTTTTAGATCCTTACTTTTTGTTTTTGTTTTTCTGTAGCTCTGTTATTTGCATTACATTAATGTTTGGAAACTTGAAAAATGTTACTTTTTTATACTAACCATTTTGCCACCTCATTTTTTTTTTAAAGGTAGCACTAGCCTTTCCTCTAGGGATGGTTTATATAAGGGCCTGGTCCTTCTGGAATCTATTGAATACAGTCCAGAAAGACTGCATTCTGGATTCACATAAAGGGTATATGGACACTTTTTACCAAAGCTTAAAAATGAGCACTGAAAAAACTAAAACTAAGTTAGTGGCAACAAAGGAAAGCAGCAAAACTTAGACACTTAAAAATTCTTGAAGTCCAGCATTCAGACATTGAGTATGGGAAAATATCATTTGGGAGAAACAGAACCTGAAACAATGGAATTGACAGATAAGCATGTTTGAGTAAATAAATACCAACTACTTTTTTTTTTTTTTTTTTTTGGTGATGCTGGGGATTGAACCAGGATCTTGTGCATACAAGGCAGGCATTCTACCAACTGAGCTATATCCCCAGCCTCCAACTACATTTTTATGAATGTAGCAAGGAGAATATGAGAAGATCATTTAAATACAAATGGAACTTCTAGAATATCTGAAGTGAAAATGATATTTGATGGAATTAGTGGCCGAAGAAAATATGAACGAACTTGAAGATTTAAACAGAAAGGGAAAAGGATTTTTATTTTTTAAAAACTGCATTCATAATAACATGTGGAAAAATACCAAACTCTATCCTTATTTTGTAATAAACACACAAAAAAAGAAAAAAAAAAAAACACCTATGATACACGAATTGCTGATCAGCAAAAATCTTTTAGAAACTAAAAGCCCTTAACCATGAGCTAAGGAAAAGTGAAACATGTAGAGAGGGACAAAAAAAAAAAAAGTAACCTCAAAATACTTATCAGAAACTATGTAGAGTCAGATGATGTTTTCAAGAAACATCTGAAAGAAATTGGCAATCTGGATTCTATATCTAGAAGAAACATAATTTTTTTTGAGGGGGGGGGTACTTTACATATTGCCAATACAAGATACACCAAGCTAAATGTTTCAAGTGGAAATAGAAATTCACAAAGCAAAAAGAAGTGGAAAATGACATAAATTATGAATGTTTAAATACATAGAAGAGGCTGCTTTCTCATTTATTTAATTTCTTAAAAGAGAATTGACTAGCTAAAGCAAAAAATATTGTGAGTTTCAGAACACGGGGAAATAAAATATGTAACAATGATCGAAGATTAAAGAAAATGAAAATGTATTGTGAAGTTTTTTTTTTTTTAGAGAGAGAATTTTTTAATATTTATTTTTTAGTTTTCGGTGGACACAACATCTTTATTTTATTTGCATATGGTGCTAAGGATCAAACCCAGTGCCCCACGCATGCCAGGCAAGCACGCTACCGATGAGCCACATCCTCAGCCCCAAAGAAAATATTATTTATAGCAGCATCAAGACAAATTAAATCTTAGGGATAAAAATTTAATAAATTAATAAACCTATACACTCAAAACTTTAGAATAATAAATTGAGAGAAATTTTAAAGAACTAATTAAATGAAGAGAAATACTCAGAGTTGGAACAGTGGTATTGTTAAGATGATACTTCTCCCAAATTTTGTTGATTCAATGCAGTCTCAATCAAAATTCCAGTTTTGTAGAAATTGACAAACTAATTCTAAAATTAATATGAAAATGCAAAAGACCTAGAATAGCCAAAATAATGTTGAGAAAGAATCTTGTTGGATATCTTGTACTGTGTGATTTCTAGACTCCTAAAAATGTTATATTAATTCAGATAGTATAGTATACTACAGACATATAGATTAATTTCACACAGAGAATCCATAAATATACCTCTCTGTATAATTAGAATTTTACAAAAAGCAGTATATTTCAGTGGCTAGTCTTTGCAACAAAATGTGCTATATCAACTAAATATTCATATAAGAAAACAATGCATCTCCATTCTTAGTACCACACCCAAAAACTAACATGCACAAAAACTGAGTGGATTATAGATCTAAATATAAAAGCTTAAGACTATAAAATTTATAGAAGATAACTTACAATAATCTTTGAGACTTTAGGGTGGTGAATATATGAGAGTGGATGTTGGCAAGACATTGAACTATAATGTGTAAAATATGCACACTTTATTTTGGGTAAATAACACCTTAATAAAGTTAATATTTTAAACTATTCATTGGACAGGAAATATCTGTAGAAGAAAACACAAACTCCTTACTGTGGCCGTTTATAGTCTGGCCATTATTTTTAATCATTTTCACCCCCAGCCTTTCAAAACCCCATATGCTCTAGCTATACACACTGGTCCTTTTTCAGCTAACTTTCCTATGTCTTCTTCCTCCTTGCCTTTGTCCAAGGTGTCTTCTACCTAGGAAGCTGTTCTGACCACTTTTACTTGATAAATTCCAATTTACCCTTTGCAACTCAGCTCATTTCTGTAAATCTTTCTTCACTTTCCCCAGAAAGTTAATTCCACCTTTCTTTGTTCTCCCAAATCAATTTATTTGCTTACATATGTGTTATAACATCTCAGTATGCTGTGATAAAGAGTGCTAATAGAAGATGAGTTACTTGCCTCTCCTTTTTGATCTAATATGGTACTTGGTATATTGTAAACATTAGGCTGAATTATAAATACAATAATTGCATGGTCATTGAAATTTAATTTCCTCTAGTCAGTTTAAGTGATACTATGCCAATGGAATGTAGCTGGCTGCTATATATGGTTGGCCCAGTTTGCCAACTCTGATGTTCTGAGAAATTTCATATGGTACTTGACTTAGTGTTCAGATTGATCTTTGTGTGGCTGAAGAGAGTTCTCTGTAGTTAGGTTTAAACTAAGAGTAGTTTTTTACTCAGTGTGCTATAAAATTTTTAAATAAAATCAGGAGTCTAGTTGGGAGATTTTTACCATGTATATGAGGCTTTTTGGGGTACCCAAAAGGTAATGCAAGATTATGGGTGCTCTATCCTTGAGCTATTATTATCATCAGCCCTTTTTGTTTTTTATTTTGAAATAGGAGCTCTTAAATTTTCCTTGACTGATCTTCAGCTTGTGATCCTATGCCTCAGCCTCCCAAGCTACTGGGATTATAGGCATGTACCATCACATTCTTGTCAGATGACAAGAGTCTTTTTTTTAAAATAAGCAAAATATTATAAACATTTCTGTACGTTGTTCTGCTTAGGTTGGTATGTATGTATAATGTTTAGTCTTTTTGATAGTGGTAAATCTATCCTTAGAGACAGACTCTATATTTAGAAAATAAGAAAAGGCAACATTAATAGAGAATTTCTCAGGCTAAGAACTTTGCATTAAAAAAAATGTTAAGAATTCAGGTAAAATGCACTTTGCTAAAAGCACAATGTAACTATAAAATAATGAGTGTATCTATTTTGGCTTAGTTTATTGTTTTTGTTGTTTTA